CTTTACGGTCGAACTCGACTTTTAGTCATGAAAGATGGATTTTGACATCATACTAAAGCTACGAGTATCAGTAAGTCATCCTGTGAGAGATGAATCCACTGTTGTGAATGTTTACATCTTTCGAATATTAACTAAGCGGTTGCGGCCCAATTCAACCTGAAGTCACTACTGAGAGCCGATCGACTACACCAAAACCGTTTGAATTATTCCGTAAATCGGGAAATATGCAAAGTCCACAATGGTCTTCATCAATTTGAGCTACGTCACAATCATTTTATTGTCACTTTCTTCGCTAATAACCGAAAAAATTCCAGTTTCACAGTTAAACGGTCTTTCAGCAGTTTACATTGCATGTCGAATGATGTCGCCTATGCACGTACCACTGAAAGCGGGTGTAATTAGCCATTGCATTGCCTTGACAGAGGAACAAAAGATCGACTTTGCGGCGACCTATTTAATCAAGTATCATTAATTTCGCATATAGTATTGATTATCGGGATGACATTTACGGTTGCATTTCTCTGTCTTCTTCCCACAGTAGTCCAGGAGTCAGCTTCTGGAACATTCCGTCGCCTGCTATCTTGACTGTCGACATTTCCTAGAGAACAATGAAATTGTTAGACTTTTCCGAAGTCTGCGTTCTCTTTTTGATACTCGAGTGGAAAACGGTCGAGTTAAGTTTGATATTAATAGGCTTTGTTATGGCCTCAACAGCTTCTAAATACATGAGGAATTTTTCGAAAATTCCGATCACTATTCGAGCGGGAAATTCAAACCACCGCAAGACCGTAAAAAAAGACAGATTCTATCCGTGGAGATGGTACTGCATGGTAGAATTCGTTTGGTGTAGATAGTTACGGCTTTTTCCAGAGGTCTCTAGTTTTTTGGAATATCATGCAACGCTCTTTGGGAGAAGCGTTGAGTGACATCCCCAAAATCGGCTGCGGAGGAGACTAATAGGCCCCTAAAAGGACGGAAAGTGAACGGTCGAATGAAATTATAAATAGACAGGAACAAGCTGCCAAAAACTAAATTGAAATCTGTGATCTATTCTTCTGTTCTATGAGGCCCTGGTCAGTCACGATTACTTATCACTCACCTCTGCTGTATCGACCATCTGGACCACGCAAATTCCCTGAAAATGAGTACAAGAACATGAGTGCACATAGGAAACACAATAGCATTGATATATAGCTCGGCCTCAGGCACGATTATTTTGCAACAACCAGGCAAAGGAATAAACTTACGGGTGTCCACTGGTAGCACTGCTACGCTATCCTTTCACGTTGAAATCCCTCGATACGCGAGGACTTTCAAAATTTTCAAACTTTTCAAACTTTTCAAACTTAAGGGAAGATTAACAAACCGTCTTTAAAAGAATACCTTCCGACTAGACAAACCACTGCGTTGTACCTAGAGTAACACTGATTTTGAAATTCTGAAAGCTGTTACGTACTTGGAAATTCACTCTCCGGGAACAATTCTGGACAGCGACTTATGAAGTTTTGTATATCGTCTTTGTTGCCCATCTTATGCATTTCTAGATTTAGCCTTTTTCCCATCCAAAGCCCTTTGCGCATTACATCTTTAGCCTGGTCTAGATTTCCCATTTTGTCATGCAACGTGGCCAGTGCAGTCGTAATC